GATCCAGAAAAAAAACATAACATAACATTTTCTCTTGTTTATTGGTTTAGTCTACTTTAGGGTTGGTTTCAATGTTAACCAAGATTGTTGAAAAGGGAGGAATTACTGTCATTAATACATAATAACTAGGGTTGTCAAAATTATTGCGTTAACTCAGGTTAATTAAATTTTTCATTAATGCGTTAAAAAAAAATTAACGCATTAACACATGTCCAAATGACCCGCCCATTTATCCATAATATCACTCAGAATGCTGCGTGTGAGATGCATCAGCGCAGGTAGGCCCTCTGCAAATTCAAGTTTTAAAAGAATACGCGTGTGACCGCGGGGCTGTTGTTTGCTGCGAACTGAAGTCCGCCTCCTCCGCGGCCGCTCTGGCTGTGAGCCGCTCACAACAACACGGCTGTGAGTTTGTGAGTTTGTAAGTATTCTTTTTTTGTTTCTCTCCACACGGTGATGATGGAAGCAAGACGCCGAACACACTCGAGCATCAAAGCCTCCGATCGACACCATCCATTCACTCATACCTATTGTGCATGTTTTTAATGGTAGGGTAAACTGAAGCACCTGGAGGAAACCTACGCAGACACGGAGAGAACATGCAAACTCCACTCAGAAAGGCTCTGTTTTGACTGGGATTTGAACTCAGGACCTTCTTGCTGAGAAGAGAGAATGCTATCCACTCAGACACCGGCCCAGAGACATAGCTCTCTGAAAAATGTTCTGTTCAGTTCTTTATTGGACTAGTCAGGATTGGTAAAATGTAATAAACCTTCATTAAAACCGAGAACATAGACGTTTGTGTTTGGACAGGCCAACTACGCCAAAGAAAATCAATGTTCAGTCAACAGCTAAGAGAAAAAAAGTGGCACATTGACCACCTACATCTAACCTGACATTCCGTATTTAATATTTATGGATTTGAATGCGTTTTGCCCGAGTGTTGCTTTTCCACTGTCGGGGTCTGCGGGCCAACTTCACCTTCACTTTGTTACTCTCCATGTTTCATATAATAAAACAGCCAAACGCAGACACTCTCCAAAGCACAGGGCGACATGTGGAACGGCCCGGGACATGCCAGGGTCCGAACAGGATGTTTGCTTAGTGATTGTAGGAGGGCCACGCATGTACCAGAGCACGGAGAAATCCCCCTCGGACAAGTGAAAGTGTTTATGTTATTTTGTTAGACATGTCAATTTCCCTCGATTTAGGAGCTGATTTGGGCAGACAATACATAGAGCCGGGATATTGTATGAAATGAGCAGATGTATATGGAAGTCATGTGTAAACATCGGAGAGTCATTGTGAGAAAGCGCGGTGTGAGACCGACAAATGTTATTGAATATGTAATTATTTGCTTGGGTTATGGTCAGGAATTTGAAGTCTATACAATTATGTCCCGCGATGTATGTATCTCCCACAAAAAAAGGAAAGAAATAATGCTGCCACGTTGACGTTTTATTTCTTTAATACAATCTAGTTTCTGTTATTTTTCAAGCGGGAATGTGGTTGTAGCTTGTAGTTTAATATAAAATAGTTCATGGGGCTATAAATGTGTACGAGTAGAGTAATGTAATATAATATACAAAATGAATTGAAGTAAAATATCATGCAAGGAGGCAATTTTTTACCCAAATGGTTTTTGGCGAGTATTTAAACTGTCTGGGCAATGTTTCTCCCTATAATCAATTCCTAGCTTAGTGACTTCCCGTTCACTTACAATGGCACAGCGGTGCAGTGGTTAGCACTTGTGTTTTCACAGCAAGAATGTCCACCGCCAGACAGGGCCTTTCTGTTTGGAGTTTGCATATTCTCCCTGTGTCTGAGCAGGTTTCCCACAGATGCTATAGGTTTCCCCAACCACTAAATACATATAAAATAATTCAGAGTGAGTGAGTGTGTGTTTGTAAGTGTGACAGTAAGACCAAGGCTACAATCCAAAGAGGTGTTTTCAATAGCATGCACTGTCCCACCAAAATAAGCAATAAATAAATGGCTAGAAAAAAAAAAGCTATCTTATGTCCTTATCCCATTGGTTTCCATCGTGACTCCTTCTGATTGCATAGAACCATTAATATGCAATAGTCTATGTGTGTGCGACTCTCGAGCTGCAGGATGCAAATGTAGAGTGACATCTGCCAAATGACAGTGAGATTGAGTAGGGAATGCACCGGGACAACAGCAGGCATCACCAGGCTCGGAGAGAGGTACATGACATAACAGCAGCTCAGATTAAACTCACACACCGATGGGGGTCGATCATGGGAGCGCTCAGAAATCCCCAGTTTCTTCTTTCTAATTTAAACAAACAGGGGTCTAAGCAGAGCCACATGGCCTCTCCTAATGACTGACATTTTGTTTAAGAACGTCCATAATGCTCTGGTTTGACTTTATATACACAGTTTATATTGTATAGCAGATATTCACCAATGCAGTCGTGTGTTTTATAATTGGGCATGGTGAGTCATGGGTTGGTGACAAATTTTGAAAACAGTGCAAGCTTTTAAGCATAAAATCTCATGTTCTGCCATACCACTGTTTCCAATGCAGGGGGCTGTTTAATATCTTCTTGTAGGTCTTCTTATTGTACAATTCTAGCTCAGATCAGTCTCTGGGTAGCACACATCAACCTTGTCTTGATGTAAATACAGTGTAAATGAAAGGCAGTAAATGTACTTTCAAGTTGATTGGCTAGCTAGTGGATTAGCAGCCTTACCTCCATTAGTGAATGCAGCATGTGAAAGTGTGGATCAAGATTTTTGGATTGGCTTATTGAAATTTGCGCACAGGAAAAGGCAAACATTTATGAGTTAAGGGAAACAAGCAAGTCCTCTTCTTCACCCCTAAGACCCATATTTCTCAATCCGAATACAAACAAGATTGAGAAAAGTTGAGATAGCAATTTTTTGATATTTTGATTTTTGGCATAGCACACACATAGAATACACAGAAGAGACGGCAAGAGCACACAGCATAAATGGACATTAAAGCCAAAAACTGTGAGGAAAGAGTAATATAGTTGTATATGTCTGACTACATTCTATAAATGGACAAGAATTGTGATCTTCATAATCATCTACTGTAACTACCTTGAACCAAAGCTGTGAAGCAACTATCACAGATAAAACAATCCTGGCCTCCATGGGCCAGACAGGGCCAGTTTGCAAGTTCTCTCTGTGTCTGTGTAGGTCTCCGCTGGGTGCTCCGGTTTCCCCTACCGCTAAAACATGTACAATAGGTCTGCATGGTTGGTGACAGGAGGGTTCAGCATGGGTCCTGTGTCAAGGCCAACAACAATTGTAAAGTAAGCAAGTGATCTTTATTTATTTAGGTGATTTACAATGTTTTGGTGTACAGATATTTGTCCATTCACTCACACACTGTGATGACAGGAGCGAAACGCCACAAGTTCAATAAATACAATGTATCTCATATATACTGTATAGATAAACGTATATCTTGACGGAAATAACACATATTGTTATGACGACATTAACTCCACTTTGATATCTTCATAAATGATAATAAACAGCTGAACCGTTACTAATCATATTCTTTGATTTATTTTTCTCGCTGTGGGACAAACTCAAAAGTTCAACACTGCAAAAAATGATGAAAAATAAGTCAAAAATTGCTCAAATTTTGCAAATTGCATTTTAATTTGCGCACAAAACAAGATTTTCCAATGGGACAAGCAAAAAGATCTTGTTTTAAAAAGCAATTACTGTGTCATATTTTTTATAGTGAATAAGAAAAGGTTGGCAAAAAGCAACAATGCCTTCTACATTATTGCTATTGTAAAGTTGCGTGACATCATTCTAGTTTCTCGTGCAATTCCATGCAAGTTGTTTATTGATAAATATCTCTAAACTAAGATCTAATTTACAACACAACATGATCGACACATGTACAACCCCGTTAAGAGCCAACATTTTAACGAGAAGCGCATTGACCGGGGAAATAAAGCAATTAAAATCCACCACAGCCCTGAGATTAAACTTCTTCTAAACCACTTGATGCATCGACTATCCAGTAAAGAGCGGCAGGCCCGACCGCATCCCCCATAGACGCCGTAGTGTCGTGGTCAATTATTAATCACCACATCAGAACCTGCGCGCACGCTCCCGCCCCGTCCAAAAATCAATCAGCCTCTACTTTTTCCCCTCACACAGCGAAAGAACACAAACTCCAACCTGAAAATAAAATCTGTGTACGCAGATGGAGATCAATTGTAATTAAAAGTGTACAAGTGTTCTGCTATTGTGTGCTCAAAGAGTGGAGCGGTCATTAAATACATTTTCATCAGTTATCAGTTGACGCTCTTAAACAAAGTCCATTAGCTTCTACCCTCCTCCGGGACTGGCTTTTTCCAATGTTTGCGTTGCCAATTTTCGGCTCGGCTCGCCTCGCAATCAAAAGACTGGGGGAAATTAACTACCAAACGATTCGGTGTTACGTGTCACTCACTCTCCCGAACAATCTGCATTAGAAGCACTTAATTAAACGCGCGCATTTGGATGGGCTAATCAGTTGGCAGCAGAGTTCTTGCTTGTTTGTGCCACTTGAAACACATGCTTGGTGCGCTGGCCCGGCCCACCGCCCCTTGCAAGCTAACACAAAGCTGCAATTTGCATTTCCGCGCAATTTTTTATATCACTTTTCCAGGTTTGGACATCAATCACAGCCGAGCGTACGCGCCACAAACCAAACATTACAACCCCTCGCTAATTCGGAGATCAAATAACCACTTGTCCATTATACTGGGAATGAAGGCGGAGAGCCCACTTCTGAAGAGCTTGATAATTACCAGCTGTTAATTGCACACTCACTTTTAATTAAACGTTGCGTCTCGTTGCGGGGTGATAAGCGGCGGGTGGAAGGGAGGTGGTTTAATCAACAAAGCTGGAGGGATTTGAGTCGGCCGTGTCCAGCCGCGATGGGAGAAATCTTCAAATAATCCGGGGAGATTAAAGGTGTCCATTAGGAACAGTCAGGTTTATTCAGGGTGGCAGCGGAGAGGTGCATTTGAAGTTGTCCCGCAGCGATGCATCGGCCCGGGCCAGGAGCGGCTGGGGGTGCGTCCCTAATCAACCGAGCGCTCAACTGGACGAATCGCACTCGGCTGGAGGTGAAGAGGAAGATTTTGGAGCGTAGGCATAGCTTTACTTTGTCTTGTGTCTATCTATTTAAATGTCTAAACAGAAGAGAAGTACTACTGTTATCAGGGTTCATAGTTATTAAAAGAACACATTGAGCTTTTGTCGGCACCTGCGGATAGTTTGAACATGATTGAAAATCGTAAATCATTTGACTCAAGCTTATATTTAAAATCGCATTGTTTATAAAAGACATATTATAATAAGCTGAAAACCACATGTTGTAGTTTGATTTGTTCACAACTTTAAACTCACAGGAGTCTATGTTGGGACAAAAACAAAAAGTGTGGTAGCCCAGCTCCTAAGAATAAAACAAAAAAAATGAACTTATGAAAGGTTATGGCAGTGTGTGCGTGTGTGTATGTGTGTGTGCAATCATGCATAGGTCGTATGGTTTGTTCAATTTACTAAAGAAAATACCTCACGCACACCATGCCATCAAATCAGTGTGGTGTTCAAGTAATTGATTTGGAATAGTTGGTCATAGGATTTATTGAATACATTGTACATGTATCTTGGGTCAGAATGATATAAAAAACCCTACAGTTGGACAAAGATAAGTACTACACATTTAGAAGAACAATTCAAGAGAAATAACCATTGAAAGTCAACAAGCTTCAGTCCTGGATCTAGAGCCTCAGTCCTGGTTCTATAGCTTATCCATCCACGGGAGCGGATCAGTGGGGGCGGGTCAAGGCTCAAAATTATTTGCGCTGAAATGCTTGCAATACTACCCCGGGCCGATGGGGGTGGACCCGGAATACGAATTAGCGTCTTTACAGGATGGTCCAAAAGTCCACAATTTTCATGTGGCCGGGACCACTCGCGGCCATTTTGGATAGGCCCATTAGTTAGAACGGCGGAGATAGGCGTGACTACGTCCATACATTTGTACAGTTTATGGAGCAGATCCATCTCTCACAGTGGACTTCCCTGAGGTTTCTTTTTGAGTCGTTCCTTGCCGGTGCAGAAGGGTCTATGGAGAGAGATGATTTGGGACATTTTAGAATATCTAAAAACATTTCTAGACATTGGCCATTCCACTCCCTATGGACCAATGGCTCTTATGTGTTACTGTATGTGTTAATATTGTATCTCTTGTGTTTGAACTCTTTGATTCTCTGATCTGTTGTTTGGTGAATCTACAACTTTCACTGCTATGTGGGTTTGGGCTAAACTAAAACAAATGAAATCCACCTGTAGGTATTGAAAATCTTGCATTCACTGTTAAGAGATTTCCAGTTCAACATGAAACATCTCTAAACATTCTCTACAATATTCTCTACACTCTCTCCCTTATAAACTGCATTAATTTGCTTTTCAGAATGACCGCTTGAGTCGTTATCGCACTTTCTCCCTTCCTGCAATATTTGTTGTTGTAACATTTTGGACTTAGAGCCAAGGAGCCATCCATATGAGTGTTTTCCCAATATCAGTACAGGATGTGTCTCTGCCCTTAGACAATACCCAAACAAGCTTGGAGAAACCCTTTCCTCAGCTCAAAACGCACTGTACTAGCCAAGCCTACACGGGAAGAAAATAATAATGTAATCGCAGAAAGCAGCGATAACTCAAAGCGTGTTTATATGAAGGCGACAGGTCTGTTGGTCAGCGTTTATGGGTTATGTGCGAGTCGGTCTAGTCCGCTGGTATTACGCTGTTACATGTGGGATAACCCCGGCCCCTCTGTCCGACCTCCGTGGGTTGCGACTGATAAAAGTGTCTGCCAGGATGTGTCCGTTGCAAAGCTCAAGCTCAATCAGCACCTGTCAGCACTACTACAACGGTTATTTTTTCAGTAATGGCTTTGACCCGATCATCGCTTTTGTTGGTGGATGATTGAGGTCCGCCAAGTGCTTGTTCTGAGATGCTCTTGTTTGATTGGAATTGAATAATTAGTTTCAAACCTTCCCACCACATCGTTACACACCTCCCCAGATTGATACGGTATACAGGCATTGGATGAAGAAAAACTAGATTTTTGCCATACCCATGTTACTTATTCAACAAGACAAGACAATACATACAATATCGAGTAGAAGTGCACCGTACATATATTTTTTTAAATGAAATTTTTCACTCTGTGCTGAGGGCATCACTCTCTTTTTTGGTGCTAATTTTTGGTTTGTATGATACCTGTCATGGTGTGAGCTGTTTTTTAATTTAATATATTCTGTTACCTCATCTGTAGTCTTCTTCATGTCCCATTGTTTTTTTGCCCTGTGCTTTTTCACCACTTGGTGTCCATCCTATGTCTATCCCGCATTTGTTCCTGGCTTGTTTTTAGTTATGGATATTTGTGCTTTATTTTTACCCTGGTTTTGGTTTCATTTAATTGAATTACACTATTCAGTCTTGCTTTTTGGGTTGCTTTTTTCATTTCACCTCATGATTGTACCTCAGTATGGCTGTATTAGAGTTCATCCATAATGTCAAAACTGTATTAATCTGCTGTTGTTTTTTCTGTGTTTTGTCAATCTGATTGAATGATAGTGATAAATACAGTTCCGGTATCTTTTAACGAAGGAACTAGTTGTATGAGTCACGAGCACCTTCTTTCTGGCAGATAGAATCACATGTATATTCCTAACTTCGATGTCCCGTCCTCTTATCTTTGCTATAAAAGAACTTTACATCAAATACAATTAAAACTCTCAGTAGTGGCCCAATGGTCTCTGCATAATCCTATCTCTTGTACAGCATGTAGATAGAAGAAGCAATAACAGAAGCACTAGGGGCTTCCCAGACCCCCCCGACGTGGCCTCGCTCTTAGATAAAGCGCTCGGGGTTTATCTGAGGAAACAGTGGCTGAGGCGAGGATGGTCTGGCTTCTTTGACAGATTAGTCCAGCTCGGCCCCGCTTCCTGCCCGCTGAGGACACTAATTACAAGGAACTCCTCACACCACAATGAGAGCTGACAGTCCAGTGCACTTAGTGGCGTATTAGCACCGTCACCGCGCCAAGGCACAAATTTCATCACATTAGCCCGCGCTTATCTGATGTGACGAAGCTAACCTGGATGTTGTTTGGGCTGAAAAGGGCAGACGAGGGGGTGGGGGGGTGGGGTCTTGCCAGGGAGTTATCAGTGGAAGAATTCGAAGTGCGCGATCTGAAATGTTATCATAAGTCGCGGACCACGCCTCGCCGTGCACCCGGGCTAGACAAAAGTCATTGTGAATCGGCCTGTTCCCAGTGTAAATGACATCCTGTTTACCAATGCTGTAAAGAGGTCACGGCCACTTACAAGTACGCACTCTCGCTCCGTCTGGGGCGTCTGTCTTATCACACTATTTAAATGACCTCTGGCCTAACAGCGCATTTAACAAGATGGCCACTGAGGAAATGTGGATGGTGCAGGACAAGCTGTTTCAGACAGATATATGTGAGGGCCTGATATGACTATTGATCATGTGAGGAACAAGACTTTCTGTAAACTGTTTACACACATAATTTTGCGTTAGGAGTCATCTTTTTGGGATGATGCTTGGATTAGGTTTCTGTTGGAAAAATGACAGCTAGCAGCGTAACAAAAGCAAGATAGGATTTGTTATAAGGGACATTTAAACAGTAACAAGACATTTTGAAGATCACCGAAGTATGAATCCAAGTTGGAATTTGGGTATCAAACTTTTTTCTCATAAATAATAAATGTCGTTTGGTCCAACTTTCTATCATTTGTGAACAATTCAGTTCACAACATGGTAAAAGATGGAGCCAAAGTTTTGAGAGCTAGAAACTAGTTCAATAGATTGTACTAAACTTTTTGGTGCTTATCAATTAGGTCTTGATAAAATTGGATTCAGCAAAGTTTCAGAAGTGTTTGTGAATTACCAAACTTGTTTTCCTATTGGCATTTTTATAGTGAACAGATGCTCATGAAAAAATTAAAAAAAACACGACTACCCCCATAAAAATATACTAATGAAAAAAACTAGGTGAGAAAACAAAATCTAGATCAAGAGGGAGTGACCAAAAGCGATTTATGTGAGATCCAACCGAGACTACTTTCACTCCCTTTCCCTCATCTCTTCACTGTTGACTCTCGCTCACACCCGAGCGCGCATTGTGTTCGTCCCTCTGCGGTGGTGCCAGCAGGCGGACCGGCACACTATAGCGCGGGACCGGTGCCACAAAGCGCAAGCAGGTCTGTCAGTGCACGGGACATCCCACAGGAGGGCAAAAGCCAGTCCCCCTCCAACCTGCCCCATCCATCATCATGACACCAGCCACCGCAGCCATGGGAACGCCACCACCACCACCCTCGTCGCGGCCCATCCGAACCGACCCGAGTAAATCTGCCATGCCTGGGGGGAACGTGGCCAGCTGGGGAGGGGGTGAGGGACGGGGGCACTGGAGCAGCCAAGCATCTCGGACACATTGTTTGGTTTATTATAACTAGTTAATGAGGTTGAAGTGAAGACTGCGGTTCTTTGTGTTTAAACGTCTTCCAGAGGGGATTGGGGAGGTACTGAAACTCATAAGGCCTGGTTGTTTTATAATGGATGTGTATATAGATTTTATGGGGCTACAGTTGGCCATGTTAAGAGCTGGATTCGGGCTTCTCGTAAAATGAATACTTTTTAGGGCTCTGCTCCATGTGCTGTAGCTGCAGTGAGAATGTTGTAATGCTGTCTCTTCTCCAAGTGTCTTTACCACATGGAGAGTTTACGACATTTGGGTTACATTTGTGCCCATAGATGGATCTTTACCAACGCCATAATTTGAGCCAGAAGTTAGAAGAAGGAGGTGCAATACAGGGATAGGACACATTGTAAGGAAGACGTTCAGCTTAAGTTTTCTATAGTTATCACAACCTTGGAAATAGTTGATGTATTTGATTGCGGGGTGGTCGAGACTTTAGGTTTTTCCAATTTATAAAGTATAGTTTATCTCTTTTATTACTGCAATCAAAATACAATTATGAGTGTGTTTTGGAATTTGCAGCCATGACAGGTTGCCCAAGTGCTATTGTCGTAGAGACCGGGGAGCTGAGGCTGAGAATTTTGGCATTCTCTCTCTTAGATATTTTTATCAATCCCAATAAAATCAACAAGCAGCATTCTATATGAGGATTGTCACAGAAATGGGCGTATTGAATGGAAAAGAGTAAAGCTTGCTCAAACATGCATGAACTACTTTAAAGAGACATATGTTGCTAAATTTACTTTTTAGAGTTTGGATTACAACTTGTTCCCTCATTAAAAACAGACTTATCACTTATGAGATTAATATCAATAACTTCAGGCACAATCATGTAACTCCACCACCTTTGTCTAAAAGCTTCTGTCTCAAACCTGTAATAGTAAGACGTCATTGTACCACTATGACATCGAACTCCAACAACAATTTTCAATGTTTTAAATCAAAATTATTTCCCATAAATTAGTTTTGGTCAGTACTCAAGTGAAATTATGTTCTTTGGCAGCTGGTAATTTTCAAATTTAGAATATCCATCCATCCATCCATTTTCTACCCTTTAATCCATTTCTGGGTCAGGGGGGTGGCAGTCAGAGATGCCACCCAAGTCTCATAGCACCAGCCCCTCACTGACCCTCTGCAGGTGGTGAGTCCACAGGAGGACGGCTGCTCTCTGAGTGTGAGCATAGCCTTGATCTTTCAGTGGGGGCTTTGGGCAAAGTGGGGTTAAGTGTCTTGCCCAAGGACACAACGACAGCAGTCATCAGTGGGAGTCGGTGGAGAAGGTGTAGAGGTGGGAAATTTATTCTAAATTCAAATTTAGAATAAACATAACAAATTCCACCCTTCCCTCTGGTTGTAGCATAGAGACAGGGCAGGCCGATAGCATTTTTTACCCTGGAAAACTTGTATCATCATATATAATTTTAGGCTCATTAGTCTCATTATAACTTTGATACACACAAATAATGCAAAATATGTCTTCTTTAAATAAAATTTTCTAATGAAACGATGCTATAAATTCAATATTTGAAGATAAAACAGTGCAAATCATCCCCGTCCATGTAAGATAAACCTTTATTAGTCTCACAGTGGAGAGATTTCAGTGTCATCGTTGCGCACATTACAGCAGAGAAAGGAAATAAGAGTCCACCGCACGCATTACCGCTGATGCTTGGGAATTCCTCAAATCCCTGGGTAAACTGCATGTTAGAAGAAACCACATGCAGGCTCAAAAGTAGAAAGTGTCACATGGTTGAGCAGCATCAGCAGTCTGTGATCCCTTGCCTCCTCCTGTCTCCCTCCTCTGGACATGTGTGAGAGAGGGCCCACTCCCTGTCCCATGCACAGCAGGGGCCCGGGGCTGCAGGCTGACATGCCTGCTTTAAACCACTTACATTGCAGCTAAAGATGGTATCTTCTGAGGCCTGTTTTTTTTTTTTACAGTAGAAAGGGTGATACATGAAAGAGTACTGGGAATGTCCTGTGATTATCATTGAGCGTATTGTGGATAGTGTTGAAACATCTGCTTTTCGAGATGGAGCATGTAAGCTTTCTGAAGCTGATGTCGAATGCTACTTTGAGATTAAACTAATATGTTTGGAGCTGCAAAGTGCCCATTCACTTCCTGGTTCCACAAAGACATGTATAATTAATAATGATAATTGATATACAGTATATATATTAAACTATAGCTAAAGTATTTTGAGGATAGACAATAGAAAGAAGCATGAATATAAAACTATTGATCTGAAAAGGTTTTTGAAAATTAGCACTTTGTCTTACATGGATTATGCAGTTTGGGAATATTTGTTCATGGGAGTGGATCCCTCACTCAACGTGGTTCTCCCAGAGGTTTTTCACAGTTTTCACAGTTTTTGAATTATTCTTTGTCAATACAGGAGGGTCTAAGGAAAGTGATCATCTGGGAAATTTAAGAACATTTAAGCACATTGGTTGTCTCACAGCAACAGAACATCCTTTAAATCCCATGGGACAACCCAAAAATTACTCAGATTATGAAACAAAACAACTGTCGAGGCAAAGCACGATAACATTAAAGGAACCAAATGTCAAAAGACCTCTTGACAAACCATTTTAACGGAGACACTTGTCAGCCACGGTGAATGAACGCTACAGGACCCCACCCACAAACTGACCGCTGGCCACCCGTCCGTCAACGCACACGCACCACACCACCAGCTGTTTGCTTTCGGAAGGCGGCGTAAAGCCAATTAAAATACACTCTCCTCATTGTGCGACCCGTGTTTGGAAAGATAATACTTTCGTTCAGTCAACACGGGAGACAGAAAGGTTTGGCATCATTGTCTCAGAGCGCAGCAGTGTCACTATCGCAAAAGCAAGATCTAATTGTGGTGAAAAGCATGGGACACACTTTTCCTGCAGGAATAATATTATGTCTGATTAGCTTGTGTGTTCGCCCTCGTTCATAAATAATAAAAAAGTGAACTGCTGTGAACTTCTAATGTTTCAGTTCATGTTTGTGTTCAAGAAGAAATGTGAGGTGTTATTTGTGACCATTTCAAAATGTAAATTAAACTATTTCAGTTGTCATTAAATGTTGTCGAATTTTCTTTCTGGTGGTAGAATTTGCTATCACCATAAACAAACCCCAACCAGGGACCCAACCAGTGGTTAAGGCTGGAAAGGCTGACTCAAAATGCATTTTTCCAAGGTATATGTTATCATCACATCTATCGGCGCAGTCTGACCAACCTGTTTGTTATTGGCGCTTTCATAATGGTATTTTTCATTCCACTTGATTGACTATGGTTGTAAGAAGCAGGTTCATATTTGGCTTATCCAATTGTCAAGCGGGAAAGGGCGTGTGTCCTCTAGCCTTGGTTCAAATTAAATTGAATCGAAGCTGCGTGTCCTTGGGCTAGACACATACTTTTAATACATTTAAAGTCCAGTATTTTTCATAAACAAATCAAACTAAAATATACTGTTATATATCACTTTAGAAAACACTTCAGCTGTTGCAAGCTTGAAAGAGTCTTGAAAGTCACTATTTGACACTTCGGACTGAGAGCTGATTGGCTAAGTGAGGCCTCTCTTTTTCACTTTTCTATCTAAAAAAGCTGATTCCAAGATGTGGATTTTTTTTAAATAGTTAAATGTTTACTGTCATTTAATTTATATACAGGGATGGAGATAGGTGATAAAACAGAAAACAGAGCTTTCAAGATTCAGATGTAGATGTAAAACAGCATTTCTCAAACACGCCTGAAGCAATCATCACAGTAGATTTTTGCATACAACATGTCCCCTCAGAAAAGGAATATGTTTAGTGTAAAATCTCCATTATCCACACGTGTCTGCACATCCTACACACCACTTTGAAGAAACCAAACTGTGTCGGTGTCAGCCTGTAAGCGCCCAAATAGGATCAGTGCCATTTAATAGCCGTTTCTCTCACTCAGGACTGTAAAAACAAGACCCAGAGTGTGACTGAAAACATTAATCATCAAAAATTAGCAGCCTAATGCACAAATGCGAACCACATGGACGACTTTTTAAAACATGGGACGGACAGTGTGCAGGAGCTGGAGGTGCGGACACGGCAGCAGCTCTGGTCCCTGTGTGTTTTTTAAGAGTTTTTAAATGAGCCAAAAGTCACTTATGGCTTCCAGATGGGGGTGGGTTTGATCGGCATCATCGTGACAGGCCGGACTTTGATGTGCTGCTGCCCATTACTGACATTACAGGCGGGGAGACAGGCGGATTTCTCACTAATCACTTCCAACTCCTCCGCACCACTACACCGGGCCGGGGGGAGGACTGCACCGGGACGACCACGAGGCGACGGGGGGTTGGATGTAGGAGTGCATGCCAAAAAACTACTGTAAGAGTGGTTCAGCATTACTGCATGGATACTGATCCTGACCACCAACCACAACAAGGGAGCAAGAGGTTTCAGGAAGTCAAATTACGAAAAATTATTCTTATGAAAGATTTTAACCTTGTTGTGGGTGATCAGGTTTCTGGGGAGCGATGACCACGAAATCTAAGTGAATATATAAAGTAATTTAAAAGAATACTGACAGAAACCACTGTGCTCTGGATAGTAGTTAGCAGGCTAGTTTACATCCATTGTGTCTTGAATCTCTTGATACTGTATATGGAATTATCTAAACTTTTATGGGGATTTGTGAATTATGTGAATTTTACTCCTTGTAATCTAAACCCCGGACACTTCACACCTTTAAAGGGCTGCATGCTTAATCACAATCAAATCAAAAATTGGATTAGCAAATCATAAAGACTGCAATTATTTGGTATTTGCAAACAAAAAATCACTTGAAATTGGCAATTTCTCTTGATTTGAGTGTATTTTGAAGATCTGTCAAAGGAACGTAGAAAGTATCTTCTGTCTTAACTCATTGCAACTTGTTTTAACTCATTGCAAAAGGGACATAATTTGAGTCTGACGAACAATTTTGTGTGAAAAGATGAACATTACTTACGAATTCAATATGTATCTCTAATGTGAAGGTTTTTAGTTAAAAATAACATTTTAAAATAGGTTTGATCTCTGAAAATGTGTAAACTTGGTAATTGCTATAGATGTACTCGTCTTTAAATAAAAAAATAAACTATTGTCTCAAATTAGACTTATTAGAAATTTTAAATTAATATTAATAATAAAAATATATATTTTGCCAAAATTGTACATACCTAGACAACTTATCATTGTAAAATTATGGACAAGGTCTGAAAGTAGTTTCAACTTCAGAAGACGCCTAACAAACTCTGTGTACCACATAGACCTGATTTTCACCTGTTGTTGAAACAGAACTTCAAGTGAAACTGAAGTCATTGGGAATCAATACAAATCTTGCTCTCACAACTAGTGTTCACATGCATGCATTATTTATCTTCTGCCATATCTTAACTTCCACTTTTTCAATTGGGAACGTGAAAAAGACGAAAGCACCGTCATCAGCTCTCTGTCCAAAGCGCCTGATTTGTGCTCTGAACTTTTTACTCTCTGAGACTCTCTATTGGAACCAACAGCATGGTTTGTTTTTAAAGAGGAAAAACTTATCCAATCTTTATCCTTCTATTACCTGTAATCAGCAACAAACTGTAACATATTGTAAATAAGGATAATATAGGTACTCGTGTTTTGCAAAAAAGGGTAAAACCAAAGGAAGCAAACTAATAACATTTAGATGCTGAAATATCAATAAGTGTCCTTTTAAAGTTTAAAGTTTTTATTGTTGCTATTGTTGAACAGGATGTTCTCTTTTTCATTGTGTGCTTGAAATTACTGTAAAGGTATATAACTAACTAACTAACAAACAAATGGTCAACTTGCAGCGGTAATCCAGCACATAGGTATTCTTTCATTCCCAGTGCACTCATTTAATTTAGACATTTACTATTTCAAAGCAGAGATCCCATCATAAACAGGTTTTAAAGTGAAAATCCACTTTGGAAATGAGCCGTTTTTCAAATATTTGTGCTAATGCACTTGTGGCATATATTTATACATGCTTAATATGTCCTTCATCTTGATGTCTTTCCCCATGTAAAAACACCACACGTTTGGTTCTATCCATTCATTCTGGAGCGGAGCCCTGATCACAAACTAACCAGTCTGTGTCCAGCCTGTGTGTTTTTCTTTCACTTTAACCCAATCTGCTCCTGGAGTCAGCACGGCAGCATAATGGCTTCATTTAGGTTCTCTGAGAAGTCCCCCTGAAACATCCATCTTGTCAGTGTGGTTAAATATAGTCCAGACAGAGCCAACAGACAACCAGGAGGGAATCATTCTGCACTTCCTCCTCCACCCACTCCGACAGAACACTGCACTGCAAAAAATCTACAAAAAAAAGAGTTTTTGACATCATCCATGAGAAACACCTATTTGTTATATATTGTGTAAACGAAATCTTGACATGAACTTTCTTAAAGTTGGAGCAACTAACTTTCAAACCATAAAAAAATAGCTTAGTAATAAAAAGCCATCCAACTTCTTGCAGTTTAGTTCCATCACTAGTTCTATCATTCCTCTTGTAAGAAACCCATTTTAGAATAAGGCAAAGATAACATTTTGTGCTCTGATTTGTTCACAACATTTTACTTTGACTCTTTCTGTTGTGACAAACATGTGTTATTTACGAAAGAACAAGTTAGGTACCCCAGCTTTATGGAACGATTCAGTTGACGCAAATTCATATATCTGTTGAAAAGGGGTTGGATGAACCTTTTTATTGCAAAGGTTTTGAGCAATGCTTCTGAAACTACCATGCTGAATCTAGATTACTCAAATACCCTCATATTAAGATTGGGAATGACAACAATTAAAGGCAACCAAGGATCACACAAACTAAAATAACAATAACAAA